TTAAATATAATTATTAACCATTTTTTAGTTATTTTTATTATTTTCAAGTTTTTATCGGGTTTTTTTTCCTTTTTAAGATGTTCAAGCTTTTCACATGACAACGTTTAGAATCATTGCAACGTGATTGTTACGTTATTCTATTTTTCATGCTCTGATGTTTCCATACATTCTTATTCTTCCATTTGAACGAGTTAATTAAAATTTTTAAGTTTTATAAAATCTTTGAAAGATACCTTAGAAATTAAATTTTAAAAAATTGCATAAATATATATTTTAAAAAAATTCGCAAACATTTTGAGTATTGCTTTCAAAAGGGTTGTTGAGGTTTTTTCCAATTCTCAATTCTAAATTTGTGTTAAAAATAGAATAAAAAATATGTTTATAAAATTAAATAATGTTTGCTAATGCTTCGATGATTTGAATTCTGTTCAAGTGTCATTATATTTTAATTAATTGAAATTTTAAGTAAAAGAATATGTGAAGAAACACTGAACTCTTGGAATTTTGAAATCAATTCTTTAAAAATAGAATTAAATTTATCATTTTTCTGACATTCGGATAGTGTAATTGTTGAATTAAGCTTCAATTCTAGATCATAATTATCTACCCTTTTTTGATTTTATGAGAAGGTAAGTAGAGTCGAGGTTTTCAATGAAAGTGTATCTAGAAGATGGATTGAGTGAGGAGACCTAATCTCTTGAACTTCAGACATAACTCTATTTCATTTTTCCTTTGGGGTTATGTCAAAGACAAAGTCAATGAACAACGAGTCTAAGACTTTCAGGAATTGGGAAAATCGGATACTAGATACAATTTCAAGCATATCTCTCCACATTTTGGAAAGTACGTGGATGGATTTGAAATAACAGCTTAACGTTATATGCGCTACAAACGAAGCTCACATTGAATTGCAATGATGCTACTTAACTTACTTGAGTACACATACTTCATTGTTTAATGAGTAGTTTCTTGTAATCATCATTTATAATAAAAATTTTCATTCTCCAAATTGTAACTCTCTCTCCCTCTATCTCACTACATAGGTCTGTAGTATATACTACATATATATAAACATATTATGCATTAAAATAATAATTTTTGATTACCTAAATCCAATTCTTTCTTATCAAATGATCATATTTTTAAAAACATTATTAAAATATTTTAGAATTTAAATAATTGAGAAGTTTATATAAAAATGTGTACAAGGTATCCCAAATAAAAATGTATGTAAATATATGTATCTTAGGCTTAGAAATATCAATAAAATAAAAATATACATTGCAAAATTTTTGTTTAAATAACATAAACGTTACAGGAAATGGATTTTTATAAAATGCAAAAATAATAATTAAAAAAAACTCACTCACACAATTTTGATCTTCAATTAAAATTTACTTTGTTTTTGCTTTTTGAAAAAATATATATAATTTAATTTTTCTAAGATCCCATTAAAATTTAATTTTAGTAAATTAAAGTGTCAACTTTAAAACAAGAAAAGGAAAAAAAAATAACATTAATGATTTAAAATTAAGGTGAGAATCCCGTCATTATTGTCACGATTTATCGTGAAAATATTCTCGTAATAGTCAAAATTTTTAAATAAATTACGTCTTAAAATTTAGGAATTTTATATTTTTAAAGTTTTAAAACAATAAATTGTAATTTTTAAAAAATAAATAAATATATTATCCGATAATTTAGTGTATATAATGTGAAACATATTCGGTATGTTGCATATTAAAATATTTAAAATAAAATTTGTTTACATAAAAAATTGCTAAATTTAAAATTTAATATACAAAATTTTTATCAATTTATATTATTATTATTTTTTAAATAGAAAAATATTTTATTATACATATAGTTTTAAATTTTAACACAATTTTCTACAAAAATACCTAATTTAAAATAATTTTATCTGATGTTTATTTTGAAAATATCCATGTAAAATTCGCCTTAATTTTATAATATATTTTTTAAAAATATAAACAAACTTATTTCATAAATTTTCAATATAAATTACAAACAAAAACTTTAAAAAATAACAGAAAAATATTTGAAATAATAAAATATATTATTTTAAATTCTACAATTCTTCTCATTTTATATAAATAAATTATTCTTGTTTTATAAAATATATTTACATATGAATAAAATTTATTTTAATGTAATTTCTTTCAAAATTGTTTACAATAAGAAATTTTTCTTTGTATAATTTTTGTTTTGATATTTAATAATTCGATAAACTTCTGCGTTTAAAACATATTCATGGAAAATATAATTTCTACTCGTATATTTAAAAATAAAAAANAATATAATAAAATAGTTGTATGGATGCAGAGCAGGATGCTGTAGAGTAGAATAACGGAATAATCAGAAATTTATTTTAAATATTTAATGAAAGATGTTTTTAACGTTTTTTAAAAAATACAGTTAACTCTTAATTATTGATATTTTAATATCTAATTAATTAAGCTTGAAATTATAATTTTTTACTTGAATTGTTGCATTTGAAAAAATTTCAAATTAATTTTTTCTGTCTGTGTAGAAATTTACTACTTTATTTAAAACATTTTTATTTAATAAATTAATATTTTAAATCACACAATGTTGCTATATTTACGTGTAAATTATATTTTCAATCAGACTTTTAAATTATATATATATATATTAATTTTAGAATTTAAGCTAATGTATAATATTTAAAAAAATAAACAGAAAACGAAAAATATACATTTTTCAATAAAATAAATTTATTTTCCAAATTTTTTAATGTAAATTACAATTAGCATTATCAAGATAAATGAATTAAAAATTGATTTTATAAAAATTACAAAATCAGATTATATAAAGAACAATTCAAAATTTTGATTAAATACATGTTTTGGAATAATTTGAAAATAATTAAAATGAAAAAAATATTATAGAATTTCGCGAAATTTTTAATTATATTTAGTAATTAATGGAATATAGTAAGATAGAATGAGAAATTTTATAAAATGATTAATACAATGTTTAGTAACAATTAACATAGGTTCTAAGGAAAGGAATTAGAAGATACAAATATTCTGAAAAGAAAAAAAACACAGAGGGAGAAAAAAACAAGAAAAACCATAATGCTAAGTAAACAGGTTAATGCTTTTTGATCGATTAACATATCATTTTGACCTATTCGATGACCTATACTTCTGATATTGATTATTGATACCATTCAATGAAGAATTTCCAAAAGATTTTCTTTACATTATCCGAACTTTAATGGCTATTTATAACACACATTTTCGTTTTAAAATTTACAAAATTTAATTAAATTTTTTTACTCAAATTCACGTTAAAAAGAATGTATCATTATCTATAAACATTTATTATTAATTTTTTTTAATATTTTTAAAATGAAATTATTGAAGAGAAAAAGAATTCACTTAATAATATGCTTTATCCGTTACAAGTTAGTAAAAAGAATGTGATTTTTCAGCAAATATCACGCTTTTATAAAGAAAAATGCATCATAATCATAGAGTTCTAGTAAGATAATCGAATTGCTACTTATTCTTGATATTAAAAAAATGAAAAAAGGAAGAAAAAGTCAATGGCCATATCAGAAGAGGAGTAGAGATGATCCCTTATAGAAATAAAGACAACCTTAAGCTAGTCATTATTTAGGTGAGAAGAAAGTTGGCAAGATATCATAAGTACTAAGTGGTGAACTGTCAATAGCAGATCTCTAAGAAAACGGATTGTCTTATTAAACAAATATGAGAAAAACGGATTCGGTTGAGTCAACATCTCGGTTGGATTTCTAGTTTTTGGTTGGACGACAGTAGGGGGGATGATGATTTTTACCTACCATAAACGGTCATCGTTTTGTCAGCAGCCACTGTTTGGAAGGAGGGAGCATCTGCAGAAACTTCGCATCTGTATTCTCCTGCTGTTGAGGATGAAACGTCACGAAGATACACTGTACCGTTGTTAGAATGTTCAATCTGTAAAGAAAGAATAAAATTGTTTTCATTCCAACCGTTAATTAATTGGATTCTTACACTAAATGGAACTTACAAGTAATTAGACATAGAGGAATATTTTTAATAAAAATAAAAGCGTATAATATTACTTTACGAATATCGAATAATTGAAAAATGCTAAAAGTGTAATATTGTAGAAAGTATTTTATTTAATTAATAAACAATATAAAAAGTAAATTATAGCTTGTGCATATATATATATAGTTATTTTAAAAATGATTTTAAAATCAAAATTCTTATTATAAATTAAACAATATATAGTTGGATAATTTAAAATTGTATTAAATTATGCTTTTTTGTAAGAATTTTCTTAAAATCTTAGTCTTTATCTATGTAAATTATACATTAATTTACGGATACCACTATATTATTACATAATTCACTCTTATTATGGATATTATATTACGCTTGAAAGCATATTATATCTATCTATTTATACAATATGCATAAACTTACAAAGAATTGCTTATTAAGCTTGCAGCATGCATAAAGTATAACTATTTTATATAAAATTTAAATAAAATAATAATTTTACTTATATTAAGATAATTAAAAATGAAATCTTCATGAATTTATGCAAGTTTTATGTGCAATAAGCTAATTACATATGATTCTCTACTCAATTAGAAATAGAAAATATAATTACAAACTTATGCAGGAGACAACAATTTAATTAGATTTTATTAAGATAAATTAATTAATTATATATAATTATGTTTATTGAGAACGTCTTTCTGGAATTTTTCTCTTGATTAAGAATAATATAAGCATATTATATAAGCTATATCTAGCTATAGGCCTACATGTTGCAATAGTTTTGCAATATGCATAAACTTGCAAAGAATTTCTTATTAAAGTTGCACAGAATAAAATATAATTTATGTAATATTAGATAATATAGAAGATAATAATATTAATTATATAAATATAAAAAATATAAAAATAAAAA